CAGGGGACAAACCGGTTGGGCAGGCGGCCGATGGCTGAGCACAGTCTAACGAATTTCAAAAGGCAACGCAATGAAAGCCGGACAAGAAATGTTAAGAGTCAAGAGCATGCTTGGCTTGGATTTTTTTTTTTTTTTTTATGTTTTAACAGGACTTTGTAGGCAGGGTGGAATTGAACTCCATCGAGGTCAAAGGAACCTGAAAAGAGAGGATAGTTTGAAGAGAAGAGAACCAAGTAGGTTCTAATCAATAGGCTTTCCTTCCTCCTCCATCTCTTCATTAGATAGCACCGAACAACAACCAAGTTGTTTCCATGATGACCCGGGGTGGGGTAGGGAAGAGTCTTGACCACTTCCTTGAAGGAAGGAAAAAAATCCCTTTTTAAAGATACCACCTACGGCTAGATTTGCAGGATATGACATGATTACAGCTCCTGTGTCCAGAGGGGCAGGACCAGAGTTCGGCCTAAAGAGTAGCACCTTGTAAAGGGCGGTGTGACCCAGTGGTTAGCTGACATATTGTTTACAACAGGGCCGAACAATCTTTGTTAGAAATGAGTGAAGCGTGCGTAAGATGGTTTTTAAAAAGCGTGAGTTGGTATACACATAGGCCTTAATGCCGTGAAGCTTTAGTTTTAATTTTCTGCTGACAGCCTTTGACTGTTCAACATAGTAATTCTCATGATATTGCTTAAAGATAGGTAAATTTCTTTTAATGTTTTGGTTTTAAAAAAAATAGCAGTGCTTTCGTCGCATTGCACAGGGATTCAGAGCATCAACTCGTCCAGAGTATTGGCAACCAACAGAACTGCTCATAAGAAGAGTGTAGAAAGGAAAATATGAATCTGAAACTATATAATGACCAGACATACTGTGGAAGATTTTTGGCTGTCCATGTCTAAGCATTTTAGATTTTTTTACATGGTATATTTGAATAAGTTGAGCCTGTGTGTCACTATAACCTGAACTCATTGTCTGGTTGTTTTCTTTATTTAGGAAGAAACTAAACTTTTTTTAGTTGACAAGGCATATATTGGTCTCAACAGCAAGAGAGTGTATATAAACTATTTGGACAATTAATGGGCAAGCCATTTATCTCAGAGTTTAGATTGTTAAGAATCTATATTCAAGTGGGAAAAATAGTCTTTTCTGCTCTCTTGGTTGACATCTGGTGGAAATTCTAGGGAAAGTAGCTGGGACCTTGTACTAGCTTTGAGAACAGATACTACTTGTGCTTTTTCTCCACCTAGTGGTAGAAGTGGTGAGTGTGATCAGATATCGGCTTTTGCTCCGTGTAAGGTCAATGATATTTATTAAGCATTTAAAAAACACTGAGCAAGGAACGGACATAAAAGTACAGGGCACGATACATAAATGCACTAAAAAGTATATGTTTAAAATTATCTAGAGACTAGTGGCTAATGACTGAATTTTTCAGAATTTTTAGTAAAATTTCTCCAATTAGAATATAACATAGCCGGGCTCAGTGGCTCAGCCTGTAATCCTGCGCCTTTGGGAGGTTGAGGTGAGTGGATTGCCTGAG